AAGACTCTTTCAGCAACAGATCATCACCAGATGCAGTTCTTTGACCTCAAACCTGCAGAACTATGAGCCAAAATAAACTTTTCTTTCTTAAGGTATCAATCCTCAGGTATTTGCATGGTATTAATGAAGTTATACTAACATACAAACATGTGCAGACAGAAAATGATACATGTAAAATTATCATACTTGGCTTGGTACAGTTGTGTTTTTAAGATCGGATAAAACAAAAACACCCAATTATAAATAATTTACAAAAGGACTATAAAAAAAGCATGGAACAATTCAGCTTTGTTAGAAAAGTATACCTCAGATAAATATTAACAGAATAGTTTAATATTGCAATAGTAATAGAAAGGAATAATCACATCATGAATATATATATATATATATATATATATATATATATATATATATATTAGTACAGGGTATACAGGGTCTCACTACACAGATCAGACTTGTAGTGATCCTCCTCTTTTCAGCCTCCCAAGTGCTGGGATTATAGGCCTTTGCCACTGTGCACAGTCATAGTTGCCATTTCAACACATCCCGGGGTCAGGTCTGGCATGGTATACTGCACATCATGAAATTTAAAAAATCATCAATTTTGTATACACACAACATGTAACTGTCAAATATATAAGGAAAATTGACTGAATTTTCAGAAGAAATTATTAAAAACAAAATTGTAATGAGAATATTCCTACCATTCATTGGAAACTAATTGTTCCCAGAGACCAACATTAAGGCCATAGAAGATTTGTTTAACAGCAAAATTAATAAATATGATCTTGATATTGTATGTTGGGATACAGAAGTTTGATTTCAACAGACAACATTTTCATTTGAAAACAAATGGAACATTTGTAATATTTGAGTGTACTTTAGAGCATAAAGAAACTTTACCAAATGTTTAAAACTTCTTAAGGAACATTTAGAACAAAATTAAAAGAAGGTACAGAGATTTCTGATATGTCCCTTTACTGTGTGTGTCTGTAACCTTCTCTCTTATTTGGTACATTTATTACAACTGCTGACCCCACTTTAACATATCGTCGTAACCCAAAGTCCATAGTTTACATGAAACTCCACTCTTAGTCTTGCACATTTACGAGTTTAAACAAGTATGTAATGCTATTTATTGATCATTGTAGTATTACACAGTATTGTTTTACTTCTTTAGAAATTCTCTCCCCTTCTCTGATCCATTGAGTGTAATATCTATAGGAGTTTCCTAATATATTTTATCAAACTGAGAAAGTCTTTATTCCTAATTTACTGAGATTTTTTTTCTATCTAAGTGGGTTTTAGATTCTGTCAAATGCTTTTCTGTATATACTGACATGTGATTTTTTTTCTATTTTTGGACTGCTGGTTTACTGGATTACATTACTTGATTTTCAAATGTTGAGCTGCACTTGCATTTCTTTCTTTCTTTCTTTCTTTTTTTTTGTTTTCTTTTTTTCCATTTTATGTATTTGGTGCAGGGTCTCACTATGCATCTCGGACTCAGAGTGATCGTCCTGTGTTCAGCCTCCCTAGCACTGGGATTATAGGCATGCACCACGACACCCAGACTCATTGCCCATTTAGCACATGAGGGGTGGGGCCGGTGAGGCATACAGGATTGAACTCTGAACCCTGACCTTGCTAAAGCAGGCGCTTAGTCTGCTGGGCTATCTCGCTGGCCCTAGCCTTGCATTTCTGTGGTAAATCACACTTGGTCATAGTGTATAACTCTTTGTGTATGTTTGAAATTTCTGTTTGCTAAAATTGTATTGACTTGTTTATCTGTATTCATGAGAGATATTGTTCTGTAAGTCGTTTTTTGTTAATTTTTGTATTTTGGCTTCATAAAATGGGTTATGAAATATTCTTTCAGTTCTGTCATCTGAAAGAAACATTAGGTTTCTTTTTTATTTTTCGGAACTGGGGATTGAACTCAGGCCCTTGCGCTTGCCAGGGAAGCACTTATTCCACTGAGCCATCTCCCTGGCCTCCTAGGTTTCTTAAATATTTGGTAGAATTATAGGCCTGGTGATTTTTGTTTGGGAAGAATTTTAATTACTGAACTTCATAAAATTTTAAGGAATTGTCATAATGAAAACCATAGGCTTTAGCCACAGTACAAATTAGTAAGCAACAAAATGTGACAATAAACCTATTACATTGCGGTGAGAATTCAGTTCTTTGTACATCACTTATACATAATACCTTACATATAATCAATAGTATGTAAATTGTTTTTAAAATAATTTTATCAAGAAATAATTTTAAATAGCCATTGCATTAATTGGCTAATTTTCTGTTTTAATTGGCTAATGTATTATAAAGACAATTATAAAGCCAGAAGTTTTTGCCTCCAAAATTATAGGTTTTGATTATAGTACTTCAGTGGCCTAATATTTCTAGGATAAAGATTAAAATAATAGACAATACTAGACATAACAGAAACCTTGTATTTGACTGAGGTAATATGTATGTCAGTAGGGAGGGAAAGGATTTTATAAATAGTATTTATTTCCCACAAAAGAAATAAAGTTATAATACTCCATACAGATACCTGAAATTCAAGATGAAAATAGATCTAAATGTTTGTGTGATAAGCTGTTACCTAGCATGTATGAGTCCCTCTAGTGAGTGCTCAGTGCCACAAAAATAAATATTACACAGCACCAAATTGTTTTCACAAATAAATGAAGTAGTAATTATAATTCTCTGAAACTGAAATATATAAATTGATAATCCTCTTTTTGAGAAATATTTTTAATATGTTACACAGTTTAAGGGTTTTCCCAACTACACATTTCTCTGTAATAGTGATTTTTCTCTCATAGTAATTCTGCATAACAGCATCTTCACAGTAGCATAGCAAGTCCAGTGGCAGATCATAAATAATTGTCCATCTTGCAGTTTTTATTTTTTTATATTTATTCATTTGTTTATTTTTGTGGTACCAGGCATTAAACTCAGGACCCTGCACTTGCCAGGCAAACGCTTGTTCTACTGAGCTATCTCCCTGGCCCTGGCCCTATTGTCCATTTTTTAAGAGAGCAGTTAAATAAATTCTAGTAAATCCAAACAATAGAATATAGTACAGAGTAAAAATGGATAGAGCAGAGCCACAAAAATCAATATGGGCAAATCTCATTAACAATGTGAATTTTTTAAAAAATACATTTACAAGTTATATTCAAATACTGTTTGGGATATATATATACTTTATATATATACATATATATATATATACTTTATATATATAAAGTTTCAGAAACATAGTTGAGATGTAACCCCTCAGGTTCAGAGTGGTGGCCACCCATATGGAGAATAGTAGGGAAAATATATTGAGGTTTAGATACACTGAAATTCTATTCTGTTGATTGGCATTTTATTTCTTAAAGAAAAGGTTGTAGATAAAATAAAGTAAAATATTTTGTTTATTGAATCTCAGTGACTACACTGATTTTGGGGTCAAATCACTTCATTTCTTTGTTCATTTTAAATATTGCATTGCAAAGTAGTTGGCACAAGGAGAAAAACTGAACAGAGTCAACAGTTGGTTCTTCTATGTGTTCACCCAGTTCACTGAAATGCTAATTCTGTTGTATGCACAATAAAAATGACTTCTAGGTAGGTAGCAAATAATTTGCTACTAGTTCAAGTTTTTTGCCTTGGATTTGATCTAAATATTCAAAGAGTATGTTGTAATTTCACCCAACTTTAAAATATATTGATATTAATAACTAACACTAATATTCTGAGCCTTAGATTTGATCTAAATTAATATGCAAAGATTATGTTATTTAATTTTTATCCAACTTTTCTTCTGTAATCTTGATATGTGGTTGTAAGTAATATATTAAGAGAAAAGCATTCAGGTGGAAATATAAATCTATTAATTATTTTATATAATTAATAAAAATAGTTTAAATCAGTAATAAAATTATGTGTATAGTTCATATGTATAATTATATTATGTATTATATTTTGTATGTATTATATATAATTATAAAGGGAGGGAGAGAGACAGAAGGAAATACATGTACGTAAAATTCAAGCATTTCATCACTGACTTGTGGTATGAATTGTTTGGAAAGAGATTTTTATTGTATGCACCATACTCAATCACTTACATAAACTTTCCTATTAGTTGACTATCCTTACTAGCTTGGTATGGTGATTCATGCTTATAACTTCAGTACTCAGGAGATGAATCAGGAGGATTACTGAGTTCCATGCCCGCATGGATCACATAGTGGGTTCAAGGCCAACCTGAGCTATAGACCCTTAAGATATGTTATTTATAGGTACAAATTCCATATGATGAGTGTGATCATTATGTATTTAAAAGGTGTGCCAATAAAATTAAAAACGAAAAAAAATTAAAAGTTATAAGCATTTTATCAACACAATAGTGGTATGTGAATCTTGTATTTATTTGGAAAACACACTATATGGTTACAAATGGATATTGAAAGGAAATATCTTCTAATTTTATAATACAATTATTTATAAGTATATGTTGCTATTAAATGAATTGATTATATGAGCCTAACAGTTTTTATTGCTCTTCAAGTTTCTAGCCTTGCCCTTTTGTGAGAAGTTTAGAGCTTAATAAAATAAGATTAAATCAGAAAATTCACAATGATGTCCAATGAATAAAATAAGTTAAAGTAATTAAAATACCATAGATTTACATTTTATGTCTTTGAAATTATACTTTTCCCTCCTAATTTCTGTAAAAGGAGAAGCAAATGGAAACAATGCATCTGGTTGTGATGTAGTCCAATTGGAATAAATGGGCTCTTGTATTTCTGGATTATAGAAATAAATTATCAGAGAATAGAGAAGTAAATAGTAGCAAACTACATTTTATTTATGATCAAGGCTGTTTAAAAAATATACACAACGGTTAACTAGGTGAACAGAAACCAGAGGAAGGGGAATGCATCTTTAAAGTTCAACCTGGCAGTTATATGGAAAAATTTAACCTTTCTTGGCAGGTTTGGATCCAGATAAGCATCTAGGAAGAACCCTTGATGAAATGGAGCCCTATCTCTTAGAGGTAAGAATTCATGCTAATTTTTAAAATATGAATATCTAAAGGAGGAAAATACAGTACCTGGAATAATGACTGTAATAATTTTTTTATTTTAGAAAAATTCAAATATATTTGCTATACATATTGTGAAACATTAAGCTTTTAATATATATTAGAACATGTTTAAAATTGTGAACATTCTTAACAGCTTTTTGACCAAAATATTAAATACACTGTACATAAAGAAATTGCTGTTAGAAAATTTTCTTTTATTCAAGTGGACATTATATGCTATATAAAAAGTATTATGCTCCTTACTATCTCACAGTCTCTGTACCCAGATGTCTTACCATCATAGATAGGAATAAAACTTCCTTTGGAGATAGTTAATCTGTCTTCTCTTTTACCTATTAGGAAGTTCATTGGAAAGAAGTAAGAAAAGTATTCCAAGGTTTCTTACAACCCTGTTTAACCCTTATATTGTCAAATCCTGCATGTGCTCTGTACATCAAAGAAAGGATTTAGTTTTCACTTTTTTGTATTAACTGTATATATTTATTACAGTTGTTAGTCAAATACTATTTATATTAGGGCAGGGCATCATAGTTATACTATTTGGAATTTTTCTGCAACCATGATTACATGTTTTAAAAAAGAAAATAACTACTTTTCTAGAAGAATTTTCTTCTGTTTATTTTTTAAACAATTTTATTGAGAAAGAAGTAGCAATGAGATAGTTTCAAAACAGGTTAGTAGTACAGTTACTATAATTAATACATTGCATATTTTTGTCTTTGTAATAGCTATTCCTACTACAAGATGCAGATTTGATATCTTGTTTAAACACTATTAGTTCAAAACTTCTCACTGAATTGAGAAAATAGCTCTGTGTGTGTGTGTGTGTGTGTGTGTGTGTGTGTGTGTGTGTGTGTATGCACATATATATTTTATTTCCACTACAAAATGGTCTTTCATTTATCTCCCCTGTTTTGTTTACTTTTGTCAGATATTGGTATTTCATTGCCACTCATATATTGTACTTGCATGAATTCAGCAGAGTAATCTAATATGGTCCAGTAGTCTATATTAGTAGTGGGTTATCTGCATAACTGGCATTGGCAGAATTTGTTGACTTGAGCCCTGTACAGCTTAGCATATTAAAATGGCTTTACTTTTCATACCTTGTTTTTATACTTTTTTCTCCTGGATGGTTAAGACCAACATAAAGCAAGACCTATATAACAAAAAATGTAACTTTTGTATCTGACATGGTCATTCAAATCCCTCAGTACTTATCCTTAAACCCTGTACTGCAGTTTGTAGATCTTTTCTCAATGTATGCCATGTGGATGAGTCACAGCCATTGCTTGACCAATTTACTTTCTGTGAAAGCCTGAGAGAATCTTTTCTCTGTAGGTGACTCTCCTTAGGTGCACTATGCATCGTCGATCACTTCCCTCTTTGCCCCAGTAATCTCCTTGAACAAAAAATTTGGAACACATTGAGTTATAGGATGTTATAGTACAGGTTTTCTTATGTCCTGAGTCCTCACTGACTTTGAAGGGATTGAACCAAAATGTCAGCTATCCTTGTAGCGCTTCTTTTCCTCTAATTTTTTGATCTGCCAGCTTAAATTGTTAACCCTTCAGAAGACAAGCTTAATGGTATTATTACCCTAGAATATAGGTTGTTGAGCTTAACATCAGTATCTATCCGAATATCAAATGCCTTAGACATAACATGGATCAGGTAATTTCCATCAGTTGTTGATATGGTAAACTTTTAATCCATATACAATGTGAAAAGAATAAAAAATAGTACAAAAATAGAAATAAACAATTACAAATTTTTACACAGATATTTAGAAATCTAACCATCTATAACATTGTAGGAGGACAGTCCTATGAATTTTTTTTTCTTTTTTCTTGTTTTCATTTATTACTTTAAAAAAAAAAAACATTTACTTGAGAGACAGTATAGCAGTAATTGATATAGCATTAGAAGCAGTATACTTTTACAAAACCAGTATGACAAGGATTCCAACAATGGCCCTAGTATTACACATTGCTATCTTCAGTGCAGTTGCTTAGTTCACAGGTATCAGCATATATAGTTAGGGTGAGAATCTACCAATTAACTGATAGTTTCAAAAACCTGACAGAAATTCTCAGGATCATTGCCTTAACTGTCTTCTGTATATAACTATATGGTTTTGTCCCTTCCATGTTTCCTAGTTTCAAAAACCTGATAGAAATTCTCAGGTTCATTGCCTTAACTGTCTTGTGTATATAAATGTATGGTTTTGCCCCTTCCATGTTTCCTAGATTTTCTCCTTGCCTTTTCTCTTTATTGCTTAATCATTTAGTTCTTGCTTTCCATTTAGCTGTGTTATTTTTATTTCTTCTTTTGAGTTCTTACACTAGGGAGACTGTACAATATTTACACATATCGGACTGGTTTATTTCAGTTATGTGTATATCTTCCAGTGGCATCCACTTAAATATAAAGGCTTCAAGTTTATCATTCTTTATAGCTCAGTAATACTCCATTTTATAAATATACCACATCTTTTTCATCCATTCAAACGTGATTGGCATCTTCGTTGCTTCCAAGATTTGGCTATCACAAATTGTGCTACTATAAGCATAAATGCACATATATCACTATGATATAATGTTTTCAGTTCCTCTGGGAAAATTCCCAATTGGGAAATAGCTGGTTTGAATGGAATTTCCAGACCTAGTTTTTTTTAAGGAGTCTCCACACTGATTTCCATAATGGTGTGCATTCCCACCAGCAGTGGAGAATGGTTCCTTTTTCCCCACACCCTCTCCAGCATTTGTTGTTGGTTGATTTCTTTCTGACAGCCATTCTTTTAGGGTGCGATGGTATCTCAGTGTTGTTTTAATTTGCGTTTCACGTATGGATAGTGATGTGGAGCATTTTTTTGTGTATTTATTAGCTTCTAGAATTTCTTCCTCTGAGAAGTGTGTGTTCATGTTGGATGCCCATTTCTGGATTGGGTCTTTAAATTGTGGGCCCTATTCTTTTTTAGTTCTTTATAATTTCTAGAGAGCAGACATTTGTCTGAGTGCTTATTAGTTAAGATTTTTTTTCTCCAATTTGTGGGTTGTCTTTTCACTCTGTTGGTAATTTCTTGTCACATCAAAAATTTCTCAGTAAGAGGAGGTCCCGGTTGTTAATTCTTTCAAGTGTGACCCGTGCAGTTAGATTTTTGTTCACGAACTGTTTGCCTACCCCTATGTCTTCGTCAGTTCCTCTTACTTTCTCTTCCAGGAGACTTAGTGTTTCTGTTTTAATGTTTAGATCTTTAATCCATTTTGACTTTAGTTTAGTACATGCTGATAGAACTGGGTCAAGTTTTAGTTTTAGTCATGTAGAGAGACAGTTTTTCCAGCACCATTTGTTTAAGAGGCTATCTTTCTTCCAGAAAGCATGTTTGGCCCCTTTGTCGAAGATAAGGTGGCTGAGTGTGTCTGTAGTGGCTTCTGCATCTTCTAATCTATTCCATTACTACTAAGAAAACAACAATATGCAATGTATTACTTATTGAAACTGTCTTACTAATCAGTTTTGAAACTGTCTCACTGCTATTTTTTTTCAATAAAATTATTTTTAAAAAATCTATTCCATTGATCCTCAGGTCTGTTTTTTGGCCAATACCATGCTGATTTTATCACAGTAGCTTTATAGTATAATTTCAAGTCAGAAATTTTAATGCTTCCTGCCTTGTCTTTGTTGCCCAAGATTGCCTTTACTATTCTAGGTTTTTCTGCTTCCAAATAAATTTTAGGAATGATTTCTCTAGGTCTGTGATGTATGTTTGTGGAATGTTGATAGGGATTTCATTAAATCTAGTATGACATTTTTGGGAGTATGGCCATCTTCACAATGTTGGTTCTTCCTATCCAGGAGCAGGAAATATATTTCCATTTTCTGAAATCTTCTAAGATCTGTTTTTAAAGAGCACTGCACTTTTCTTTAAAAACATCTTTGATTTCTTTAGTTAGGTTAATTCTGAAGTATTTAATTTTCCATGGTTCTACTGTAAAAGGTATTGTTTCTCTAATTTCTCTCTGTGTGTTTGTTATCTGTATAGAGGAATGCTATTGACTTTTGGGTATTGACTTTGTATCCTGCTATGCTACTGCATTTGTGTATTAATTCTAGTAGCTTCTTGGTGGAGTTTTTTGGGTCTTCAAAGTAGAGTATCATGTCATATGCCAATAATGATAGTATAACTTCTTCTTTACCTATTCTTATTCGTTTTAGTTGTCTGTCTTGGCTGATGGCTCTAGCTAATGATTCCAGAACTATATTGAATAGGAGGACATCCTGGTCTTGTACCAGATCTGAGAGTAAAAGATTTCAGTTTTTCCCCATTTAGAATTATGTTAGCCGTTTGGCTGTCATAGATGGCTTTTATCAGATTGAAGTAGAGGCCATCTAGTCCAGTTTTCTTTACGACTATGAACATGAATGAGTGTTGCACTTTCCAAAAGCCTTTTCTGCATCAATTGAGATGATCATGTGGTTTTTGGATTTGGCTATGTTGATATAGTATATTACATTTATAGATTTGCATGTATTGAACCCTCCTTGCATCCCTGTGATGAATCCTACCTAGTCATGGCGTATAATTTTCTTGATGATTTGCTCTATTCTTTTTGCTAGGATTTTATAGAGGGTTTTGGGGGCGAGGAGTAGGCAGAAGTTCCCACACTCACTCTGGGCCTGGAGTCAGGCTGGAGAGGGCTTTACTTTTGTTTATAAGTTATTGTTTTCCTACATTATACTCATAGTTCATTGATACTCTTTCTGGAGTTGTTAAGACTGTTGCTCTAATATAAAATGTTCACAGTTATACTCCAAATAATTTTAAGAGTTTCATATTTTCTTTGAGGTTATTTGTAATTGATTGTTTTATAGTTTTTCAATGTGTACCAAATGTCTAAAAATTCCTAAACTATTAATTTCTTCTTCCATCAAGTGTTATTAAATGC